CGGCTGGCAAGAGACCGAGACGTGTCCTTTGTGGAGTTTGGTTCGATGGGACGTTGGGAGGCAGAGTCCTGGGGAGCTTCTTGCTTCCTGGGAGACAGGGGCCCCAGGACCCCTCAGGGCTTCTGGCCAACCTGCAAGTCCCCAAGGGGACGCTCGGGGCGGGGGACATGGGCACTCACGCCACGCCAAGCTGCACCCAGACTGGCTGTGGCCCCCTTGGCTACCATCCGTCCTCATCTACAGGATCGTTTCCTCACAGGGACGCTTTGCCAGAATGTTCTGGGCACATTTGCCTGGCCGCTCGCCCTCTGCTTGGGGCGGAGGGACAGAGGGTTGCTGAGCTGTGCAGGTGACGGCAGTTCCGGGCCTGTCATTCCAGGGGACACCACAGTGGGTCCGGCTTTGCCTCGGGTTCACCTTGTGACGTCTGGGCGCTGTGTTTTAGCGACGTGACCCCTGCCCCTGGCCCTGTGGGAGAGAGTGCCCCGTGGCCCCCCATCAAGAAACGGGGAGGGACGTGGATGTTTGCTTCTTGGTTAGTTTGTTAGATTTTCTGAGCATCCGTTAAGCACCGGCTCCGTGCGGGCCAAGATCGGCACGTGAGGGCAGGGTCTCACAGACCCCGCAGGCGGGGCTAGCATTTCTCACGGTGTCCTGAGTGACAGCCCCAGGGTCTCCTGTTCAATTCCCAGCTGAGACAAGACAGCGAGAACCGTGCTTGGGGATGAGAACAAGGTTTCCCGGGCGCCTGGGGGGCTCAGCAGTGAGGCATCTGCCTTCAGCTCAGGTCATGATCCCGGGGTCCTGGGACTGAGTCCTGCATCGGGCTCCCTGCTCAGGGGGGGCCTGCTTCTCCCCCTGCTTGTGTTCCCTCTCTCTCTCTCATAAATAAATACAATCTTAAAAAAAGTTTCCTGGGGTGTGGGCCTTGGGGCCTCTGTGTGAGCCGGCGGCTCCCGGGGCCGTGGGGTGAGGGAGGCACCCGTCCCTGCCGCTACCCTGGAGGGGCCTGTCAGAGGTGACAGGTCGGGGTGGCTGGGGCTGAGCTCATGGGTCTTGCCCTGGCTCTGGGCCTGGGTGGGCCTCCCCAGGGGCTTCCTAGAGCAGCGCGAGGCCCTCACATGGCTCTGCCCAGAGATGGGCCCAGGCACCAGGGGTCTTTCCCTCAGGAGCTGGGCCTTGGGCCTCTCGGAGCCACGGCAGGAGGCCCAATGGGGCAAAGGGCCAGTGCCGTCCCGTGTGGGCACGTGTGTGTGCATGTGTGCCCGTGTGCATACACGTGTGTCCCCTCAACGTGCAACGCGGGGCTCCTCCCTTCCCGACTCTGGTTCCCGGCTTCGCCCTTGTCCCCGACGCTACAGCGTCATTCCCTTCATAAATTCAGCCTAGACCTGGTTTCCATGGAGTTCTGATGAAAACTGGAATTGAGATCATGATTGGGGCAGTGGTGGGGGGTAGTGGGAGGGGGAGGGCGTGTGGGGGGGCACCTCCTGCGCTCGGGCTCCAGCAGCAGGCCCAGGCTGACGGCCGTTTTTCTTCCTTCAAGCGTGTATTTAAATTCTCTCCCGAGCCCTCCTCCTCCTCCTGTTGCTTAGTGATGGTCATAGGCCGGGATGCCTCTAGGAGAACCAGGAGGGGGGACTCTTCTCCTGTGCACAGGGGCAACAGGGGTCCAAGCTCAGGAAACTTGTGGGAGGGTCTAGGGCTCTGGTCTCCGGGGACGGTGGCGTGGACCTGGGGTCTGGGTTGCAGACCGCCTGCCCACTGTCCCCCAACTTTCCCCTCTTTGGTTGGCCTGAACTTCTACCATTAGAGTTTCATTCCTTTGGATATTCTTGCGAGATGTCAGTGCACCCCTTGGAGCTGGCCAGTGAGGCCCTCACCCTGGGAATGAAGGTGCGTCCGAGACTCTCCTGCTGACCAGGGGCTGGAGACGCCTGCGGCGGAGCGGGAGCATCTGGAGCCTCACGCCCGTGCCTGTGCCCGTGCTGGCCAGAGCAGAGCAGCAAGGCCGCCTCGCGGAGCTCCCCGCGGTGAGCCAGCGAGTGAGTGACCAAAGGGGGGCGTGGGCGTGGCACTCTGCACCCAGCAGGGGAGCGAGTGAGAGAATGAGTGAGTGAGGGAAGGGCGGGCATGGGGCTGTGCGAGAGAAGCTGTTGCAGCGCGGCGCCCCCCACCCCAGGGTCCAGGAGCTTCTGTGCCTGCACACGGGCTAGGCTGGGACCCCCAAGCTGGCACGCCGGGCACATGGTGGTTCTGAGACCAGCCGGCCCCTCTGGTCAAGGACACTTGGCGGGGGCAGAGGGCCCTCCCTGGAGCCCCGCAGCCCGGGAGGATGCTGCTCATCCCCTAGGCTCGACCCATGGGGACGCCACCAGTGAGAGATGAAGGCCTAGCAGGGGAGTCTGGAGAGGAGGTGAGCGGGGCCGGCTATGTCAGGGATGGGTCCCCAGGGGATCCCCCCACCACTGAGTCCCGGGGGGAAGCTGACTTGCTTCCCTGTTTTCTGGGCTGGAGGGCCGAGTGCATCACTTGTAGGACCCTGCATGCCTGTCAGGGGGCCTCCTTTGTGCCCGGCCCGCGGGGCAGGAAACGGGCTCAGGGCAGGCAAGGTGCTGGGCACACAGCTGGCATGGACTCGGGTCTCCCTGATGTCAGGCCTCGAGGGGACCCCATGGTGTATGGGGTTTTCTTCTGCACCCATTCCTTCCTCTCCTCTGCTTCTCGACGCTACGGTGGGGGCAGGACCAGAGCAGGGGAATCAGGGTCCCCAGTCCCCCCAGTCTTTGGGAGACATGGCCAAAGCCTGTGTAGTTTTGGTCCCAGGGCCCAGGCAGGGCTGTCTGCTGTGCCCGTAAATGCCCACTGAGTAAATGAGTGAGTGAACGTCCGGGCACCTGCAGGTCCCCCAGCCCCAACAGAAGACGCCAACTGCGGGGGTCACCATCTCCTTTACGGAGAGACTCAGGGCTTTGTTCTTGCGGATGGCTGGATGTGGTGGTGAGGGCTGGGGGCGCACGTGTGAGCGACACGAAGGGCTTTCGGCATCACTAGTGACCAGCCACGCTAGCCGCTGAGTCTGGCTGGGGGGGCCACAGCGTGACGCAGCCAACCGCCGACGCCACAGGGCTGCACGGGGCACACACATGGGAACGTGGGGACCACAACAGTAAAATGGGCTCGGGGCCACAGCACAGACCCTGTCCCAGCTGCGTCTAGGCGGGTCTGGGCTGGCGGGAGCTCCCCATCCCACGTCAACTCTGCCCCCAGCTCGGGGAACTGTCTCTTCCGTCCATTCTGGGCGGCGTCCTCCAGGACTCACACTGTCAGCCTCGCAAGAGGGCCGAACGGCCACATGCGCTTGTTGGGGGCAGAACCGAGGCTCTGAGTAGCAGGTGTGCCCGAGGTGCCAAACACTGGGTCAGGGAGGGAGTCTGAGGGTCTCTCAGAAGGAGTCCAGGCTCTTGCTCAAATGCCCACTGCCTGGGCCTCGCCTCAGCCTTTGCCCAACTGATGGCCGCTCGCTGCCTGCCCGTTGGGGCCCAGTGGCCCCTTCGCCTGCCCAGAGCAGGTGCCTGTGCGTGAGGTCTGGGCTGGCCCACTTCCCCTTGCGGGTGGCCCCTGGGTCATGAGATGGTTCCCTGGCCAAGGACTGGCACTGGGCCGACTGCCCGGAAAGGTTCTGTGGCTTGGAGAAGGATCCTATAGGGTTCAAGTCGGGGGCCCAGATCCAAAGCCACCGTGGAGACTTGCCAGCTTGTCATTTTTTGGGTGGGGGATCAAGTCCTGGTGCCCCGGGGCTCAGACCAGGCCTCCTGTGTCCTGAGTCAGGGAGGCTCACAGCCGTCTGCCTGACAGTCCCCCTTCAGGACAGTGAGGACCTACTTAAAAAAAGCCTGCATTTCATTTTCCAGACCTCTCGCTGCTCCCGGTCAGCTTATTCTGGGCAGCTCATCCGGGATCTGTCTCCCCCTGGCTCAGGGGACCTTTTAGGGCAAGGCCAGGAGGCCATCCTGTCTGGAGACCGGCTCTTACAGATCAAGGAGTTGCCTGCCTTCCCGGGTGCCTGGGGCTGGGGCTGCGGCCTGTGGCTTGGGGCCAAGTCAAACGATGCTGGGATGCTGGGCCTTGGCCTGGCTGCTGGCCCCGGGAGCTGCCTGGACCCACGGCCCCTCCCCCTCACCTGTGGCCTCGTCCCCACCAATGGCCTCTCTCTGGGACCTGGCCATGGCCTCTGCTCTTCAGGGAGCCCGCCCTTCCCCTCAGGAAGCTCACCCACGCAGCGGGGCCACACAGGGACGTCCCCGGCCTGGCTGGGGATGCACGGCAGGTGCGAGGAGGCAAGACCCCGCCGACCTAACCTCGCCCCCGCCAAGCCAAGCAGACATCCAGGCCAGCTCCCAGTGGGCGTCCAGGTAGAGCCTGGCCGTCTTAGCAGGGAGGAGGGGGAGGCCTGGGTCTGGCCAGTGCCTGACCCACGGGATCCCCGTGCTGTCCTTCGGGGCACACCAAAGCTTCCTGGGAATCGCCCTTGGAGAGGTGGGGGTCCAGACCCCTGCCGTCCCAGAGGAGGGTCGCGCCCCTCTCCTTGCGGAGGACAGTGGCAGTCGCACCAGCCAGACTCCTCCCGGCGCCCCGGCCTCTCGGGGCCGCTGCCTCCCCGTGCCCGCCCAGCCTGGCCTGTGCCTTTCATTTCTGTTCTAACACCCAGCGGTGTGGGAACAAAGAAGTCTGCCTCTCAGCCACCGCTAATTTCTTCTGATTAGAGGCCCTTTCTGGATCTGGGAGAGGAGCGATCTCTCCTGGTTTTCAAAGAGGCGTGGAGGGAAGGGTTGTGGGGGGCTGATGGAGACGCTGAAAGAGATGGGGCCTCTGGGGGTGGGCGCCAGGTCCTAGGCCTCCGCTGAGCCCCATTCCAGCTCTGGGGGTGGGGGGCGTGGAGGCCCAGTGGCCACCCCTCTCTGGCCCTCCTGCCCCCCTCCTTGGACCCCACCTCGGCTCTAATAGAGCGTCTCCCGAGTGGCGTTACTGGAGAAGGTGTGGTTGCTGGACACGCTGTTGGTCTTCCTCGAGAAGGCCAGCCTCTTCCTCCTGCGTCCCCACAGTGGGCAGAGGCAGGCCAGTGTGGACAGAAAGGCCTGGCGGAAGCTGGCAGAGACCAGGTTGTAGAGGATGGGGTTGACAGCAGAGCTGGCGTAGAAGAGCGCGTTGGTCAGCATGTATAAGTAGTGGTAGACGTCGTAGAGGAACCTGCGGGGATGAGGGAGAGGCGCTCAGGCCTGCACGGCCTCGCAGCCGCGGACCCTCACTGGCTTGGGACAAGAACTATAAAAACTCCTTGTAAACGTTTTGACGTGGGGCTGTTTCATAATAAATTTCAGGTTCTGGCTTCTCTGGAGAAGCTGGAAGTTCTGCCCACACTCCTGCTGGCACCAGTCGGCACAGCCGGGTTGTGGCAGCCCTGCCGGGCCCGTCTCCACCTCTCCCTGCACGACACCTGGGCTGCCCTTCCTTGTGCAGAATCCTGGCATGCCTGGGCTGTAGGGCATGCTGGAACCCGGCTCCCACTGAACAGCCAGGGCAGGAACCCCCTCCTTGCCTCCTGGGCAGCTGCAAAACTTTCCCTCAGCTTGCTTGCCTCCACTCACAGGCATCTCACTCCCTCACCAGACAGCTCACTTTCCCAGCAGGCAGCCCTGAGTTTCAAGGACCCTTTACCTTGGGGCTCTGCTCCCTGCACTTCTCCTCTGCCCTCAATCTGCCCTCCCCGCCGGCTCCGCATCACTGTGAAGAACCTGCACGCCATGGTGGGCCCCGGGCTGCCGTCTCAGAGGGGCCTCCTGGCCAGGCTAGCCTCGCCGCTCTCTGGGAGCGTGGATTTTGGGGGTTCTCCATCCTGAGAGGTGGGGCTCTCCGGGCCCAAACTGTCTATGCCAACAGCGGGGTCGATGCTGAGCATCTCCTCCCTACCGGGAGTCTGGAATCTGGGCACCCGCCAGCCAGGGGTGCCCACATGACCAGCCCTAGCAGATGCCCTGGGCGCTGGGCCTCTGGTGACCTTCCCAGGAGACAGCATTTCACACGTGGTCTCAGCTTGTTCTGGGACGGATAGCCAGGGGGTTCTGGAAGCTGTGCCTGGTCTCCTGGACCCATCCACAGGCTTTTCCTGATTTTGCCGTGTGTCCTTGGGGTGTGATGGAGCACAGCATGGGTGTGGCTCTCCCTGAGTCCGGGGAGTCCTCTTGGCAACTCTCCCAGCGTGGTGGTGGTCTAGGGCGCCCACACAGCTGCCCCCCCCAGCAGAGCCAGCCCTTCTTGTCACTCTCCAGACGTCTCTAAACTTGTCTCATTCCCCTTCTCTTAGAGGCTGCTTTCCTTTTCTGCTATAACCTGTCCCGTGGCACCTGTCCCTCCGTGGCCTTCCTTCCTTCCCCCGCCCATCCAGGGCCACACCACAAACCCGTGGGAACCCCTGACCTGCACCCTTGCCCTGAGCTTCTCTGTTCAGCATCCCCACCTCCCATGCTAACCTGTGGGATGAGCTGCTCCCAGCCCAAGGCTCCCCGCTCTGCCCCAGGCTCCTGGTACTCACGGGGTCCACTGCTTCTCGGAAATGTAGCAGAACATGAGCCGTCGCACGTGGTAGGGCAGCCAGCAGACCACGAAGGCGATGACCACGGCCCCTGAGACACAGAGACATGGGTCCTACTCTGCACACAGAAGACTGAACACTGCTAAAACGTCACCCACAGCTATCACAGACTCTGTGCCACCTCTCACGAAATGCTGACAGTGTTTCCCGCTGAAAAGAAAAACCTGTCTTAAGATCCATGCGGAGACTTGAGGGACCCCTGAGACAAGCCGAGGGAGAAGAGTGAAGCTGGAGGACTCTCATGTCTCGGTTTCAAAACCCACCACCAAGCTGCAGTGGTTGGAACAGTGGGACATTGACCTCAAGACAGACACAGAGACCACGGGACAGAGAGCCCAGAAATAACCCTCACCAATTCGGGCAGACGATTTCCTACAAGCCTGCCCAGACCACTGTGCCGGAAACAGTACTGGGGAAACGGGACAGCCACGTGTCGAAGAAGGAAACTGGACCCCTACCTCACGCCATATAGAGAATTAGATCAAAATGGATCAAAGATCTAAATGTAGCAAAGAGTACAAAATTCTTGGAGCAAAATGATGGGCACCAATTTGACAACACTGAGTCCAGCAGTGAGTACTTGGATACAGGACCAAAGGACACAGGCAACAGAGTGAAAAGTTAATGCACAGAACAGGAAAGAACACTGCATCACACAGCTGGTCGGGGATTAACATCCAGGACACACAGAGCATGAAAAGGCAACAGCAAAAATGAAACAACCCAATTATGTATTTAAAAATGGGCAAGGGGCGCCTGGGTGGCTCAGTGGGTTAGGCCGCTGCCTTTGGCTCAGGTCATGATCCCGGGGTCCTGGGATCGAGTCCCACATCAGGCTCTCTGCTCAGCGGGGAACCTGCTTCCCCCTCTCTCTCTGCCTGCCTCTCTGCCTGCTTGTGATCTCTGTCAAGTAAATAAAAAAAATCTTTTATTTTTTTTATTTTTTTTTAAAGATTTTGTTTATTTTGACAGAGATCACAAGTAGACGGAGAGGCAGGCAGAGAGAGAGAGAGAGGAAGCAGGCTCCCCGCTGAACAGAGAG